CATGCTAACCCCAACCAGGGCTGCTGCTGCCGGGTGCAGTGGAGTGGGCCCACTCCGCGGCCCCATGTACCACAGAAGGAATCAGGGTCCGGTCCGTCCCTCCCCACCCTCACAATGGTTGCGGATCCACGGTGTGGAGAAAACTGTCCAGCCTCCGTCTGGCCAACAAAGCCCTGAACGACACAGGAGAGGCCTGCCCAGGGCTCTGTCCGTAGCATCCAATGAAAACACCGTGGGATGTTCACACCTCCAGGTTTACTGGTCACACCCAGAGAGATGCTACATGAAGGAACACCGGTGTACATGTTGGAAGGCCAGCTTTCCATGGCTCCGCCAAAGAAAACTGAGGAGGAGGAGGAGGGAGACTGGGAATCTGCCACGCAGCTTGTTTGAATCTGGAGTGAAAACACCCGGGTCTGGGCTCCGTGTCAATGGGATCAATCCAGTTCCCGTCCCCAGGGATCTTAGAGTCTAGGGTTCCAGGGCTTGAGGGCTCCTGGAATACTAGGGATTCCACCGAGGATCTGGGACCCCAGGAGGTCTGGGCGTTATGGGTTTTGGGGGAGTTGTATGGTCCTGGAGTCCCAGGGGACTTGAGAGAGTTCTGGGAATCCCCGTAGAGTCATGGGGAGTTGTGCCGGAGGGCAGGGCAGGGACTTCATCACTGAGGGAATCCAGAACTTGGGTGAGCCAGGTGACTGTGAGCCGGTAGGCCTCAGCCTGGAGGCCCACTGTGGAGGGCAGGGGAGGGTGAGAAGGCACTGGCTGTGCCTACTCCTGCCCCCACCCCTAGCTCTAGCCTACCTGCTTAATGACTTCCCCTCTCCCCTGGGCCAGGCTGTGGGCACCTTCCAGGATGGACGCCCATCACATGATCACATCTTTCTTCAGCTAACTGGACAGCTCTGGGCAGAGTGACCCAGCCCCATCCAGGCCTCAGTTGCCCCTCTGAATAATGAGCTGGCCTGGTGACCTGTAAAGCACCACCAGCTCTGACACCTGTTGGGACCAATCCCAGGGTTGTTTCCTGGTCAGCTGGCTTTACTGGAGAGGGGTGATCTAGTTCCCCAGCCCTTGAGGGGGGCAGGGGGATGCTCAGTGTGGTTTCCTTGGAGACTGGAGAGCTCTGGGTAGGGTACACCCACACTAAGATGGTCGGGGGAGGGCAGGTGGTTTACAAGCTGGAAGAGGGGTCTTGCCTTTCTGTGCTGTCCTGGTTTCTCGTGGTTGCCAGGACCCAACCAGGCCAAAGCTGACTGGGGGAGCCAGGACGGAGCCTGCCCACACTTCACCTCCTTGGACTGCTGTGCCCTCCTAGGCTGTCTGGAGGCAGGAGGTGGGGAGGGTAGGCAGGCTTCCTGGAGGAGGCACCGCTGAGCTGAGCTAAGGAGATGGACTGAGAGGGGTTTGCCTGGAGACCACCAGCTCAAAGTGCTCCCACCCTTGCTGCATGGGACAGGCCAGCATCATCCACCAAGAGTGGTCTGCCTCAGCCTCTTCCTGGTGCCCACCGGGGAGGGGCATGGACTGCCCACACCAGGAGTGACCAGAGGATGGGGTCCCAGCTGCTGGTCCCTCTGTGGGCGTGTATGCCCATTGTGCTGTTTCCAGGCCACTCCAATGCCAGGTGCCCCTCCATGCACCCCACCTGCTCCTCCCCAGACCCCCATGTAGCTGTTGTCTCCATACCCTGGGGCCCTGCCAAGCCCTCCTACAGCTGGCTTCAAGTGGTGACAGCAGCCATTGGCACCCTCAGAGTCTCCCTGTGAACAAGCCACCAGCATGCCTCATCCTGACTTGACTTACTCTGGTTACACGCCAGCTTCCAGTATGGCTCGGAGCTGCAGGACAAACATTGGCATGTGGTTCAAAGTGTGCCCGTGCCTGCCATCCAGTCAGTTGGCCCTGACTCACAGAGACAGCGTGCACACAGCAAAGAGAACAACACACTGCCTGGTGGGGCCCTGGCCCCTCAGTCGGCTGCCCATCTGGCTGGCCACTGGGACCCCAGCACGTTCGTGCTGCCTGGAGAAGCCAACAGGGGGCGCCAGATGCACACTCTGGGATGCCAGCAAAGGTGCCTTGTCCTAGTGGGGTCTCAGCCCTAATCCACAGCATCAGGACCAGAAGGGGCTGGGGAACCTCAAGGAATGCTGAAGAGGATTCGTCAAGCCAATGCATTAAGTTGCTAATTAAGATAAGGCCCAAGGGAGACTGCACAACCCTGTTAGGACTTAAAATCACACAGAAAGGGGCCTGTGGGCAACCCGGTGTCACTTCTATGTGGGACAGGTTCTCAACCTGTGGGTCACTACCCCTTTGGGGGTCAAATGACCCTTTTACAGGGGTCGCCCAATTCATCACAGTAGCAAAATGACAGTGATGAAGTAGCAACGAAAATACTTGTATGGCTGGGGGCCAGCACAACATGGACTGTAGGAAAGGGCCGCGGCATGAGGAAGGTTGAGAACCACTGCTCTGGGGTTTAGCCGTTGCGAGGGGAATGCTACACAGCACACCATCTCCGTTGTCACCTGGGAGACTCGGTGGCGTTCCATCCCAAGCCATGTTCCCTACCTTTGGAGTCTGACATCCACTGCACTGACTACACAGAACGCACAGACAGTACGCACGAGGAGGGGTTGGATGAAGTAAGTTAAGGAGTTGCAACACAAGGGAGAAATACTTAGGACACAGCTGTTCTCCAGGACCTGGTAACCAAGCTCTTTCAGGTCTGCTAACACCCCCAAAGGCATGCCATTCTGCCATCAGCCTCAGCCTGAAGGCACTGGGTCAGCAAACCCAACCTCCTGAATTGTGTCCAGGGGGCCCCACCCTGTGAGCCAGCCTCCTGCCCCAAAGCGCTGAGCTCCAATTGCTCCGTGGGTTAGGAAGCCCATCACTACGCTGCTCCATGCCCTGGCGCCTGGTT